CTACCCGGTTCTCTGTAGTGAATGGTATCACACTAACGTTACCAATATTGCGAACGCCATCAATATTGCGAACGGTTGTCATTATATCCAATCCAATGGCTTCATTCTATAATGAGGAGTTATCATTGGATATGATTATATTCAGCCAATGGATCAGGACCCCACCTTGAAGTTCAAAACTATTATGTTCATTTTTATGTTGTCCAATACAAATTTCAAATTGTATCTTATTATAACGCCTTCAAATTTAATGTAGATCTGAGTTCATATATAAATTAAAACGCGTCACGACACCCAGGTATAATATTTTGTAAATTAATATTCCATACATACAAAACTAAGATATTACGACCGCTCGCGAAATACAAAGCCAAAAAAGTTTCACCAATTCTTTAACGTTACATTATGATTTGGATTTTGAAATTATACTGTAACGTTAAAGAATTGGTGATTATTTAGATATTTTAGGCACTTCTTGGCACTAAAAAATGCAGCTGGATATATATTTTATAATGCTACCTTTAGTTTTTTTTATTCGAGGGACTTTTTGTGATGGTGTGCTTCAAACATTTGACATTTTAAGCGTTCGCGATATTGATGGATTACATTATCAAGGGAGGATTCGAAAAAAAACTGAAATATTCGAAAATGAAAATGAAGAAAAATCGGCACATCAATGGTTGGCCACGTTAATGCATGTCGCGCGGAAATTTGAAACTCCAGATTTGCAAAATATAGGTAGAATTTCAAATTTCGTACTCGTGATCATGGAGGATAGCGATAAAATTGCAATATTTTTTACTTCCTCCGACTGCGGCGTCCGGCTACCCCCCCCTCGAGGGACCGTCATGGGGACACCGTCCCTGGGGTGGCGCGAGGCCACATATACGTTAACTATTGCTAAGTACTCATCTATAGCTATGCCTAAGGACGGGACGACTTGGTCGATCGCGGTCTTGAGGGTCTTGAGCTCGGCTTCACACACAGCGAGGATGATCGCGTGTTGCGCCGCTTCGTTCGCTGCCTTCTGGTCGGCCCAGCGGGTCTTGACTTCGAGGCAGGCTGCGGGGTCCGCTGCTTGGAGCGCCTTGGACATCTGGATGTCGCCCTTGGAGGCCAGGCTCTTGGGCGGGGTCGTCTTGAGTCGTTCGAAGGCGGCTGCCTTGGCGACGATGGACTTGGACAGACGCTTGAACTCGGCGAAGGATGAGTCGACGAGGTCAGCGACGTAAGGGGGGATGGGGCGTGGCGGCCTGCAAGCCGTGGGTGTCGGCGAGGCCATCCTGAACGGGATCTTCGCGGGTTTCGGGGTAGGAGAGGAGGTGCGATGCGATCCACAGAACAAAGGAACAACTTGTTTCCAAAGGGGTGAATTAAGAATTAAGCAACTACGGGAGCGCAGCGACCTCCACGCGTAGCGCGCACGCGCGCAGCGCGTCACGGAGGTTAGGGGGCGGAGTCCCCTAGAGCTGTTTTGATTGGCTTGTCGAGTTGCAGAGTGCAATTGCATTGGTCCTTTCGATGTTCTTCTTCAGTGGAAAGTTGTGTGGACAGCGCGGAATAATACCAAACTCACTATACTATACTAAAAACTAGATAAGGCGTCGGTCGTTGATTGGCTGGTGGTGCTCACGTCGGATCGGCGTCTTGAGGATGATTGGCTGGTGGAGCTCACGTCGGATAGGCTTCTTGGTTTTGATTGGTTGTTGAAATGATTACGACAACTGTTGAAGTCGTAATCATCCGGATCATATCCGTATGGCCAAGTCAGGCAAATTTGCTCCACTTGTCCATCCGGAAGTTATCCGTATGGCCAAGTCAGGCAAATTTGCTCCACTTGTCCATCCGGAAGTTATCCGTATTGGACAAGTCAGGCAAATTTGCTCCACTTGTCCATCCGGAAGTTATCCGTATTGGCCAAGTCAGGCAAATTTGCTCCACTTGTCCATCCGGAAGTTATATCCGGTTATCCGGAAAGTGTATAAAACCGTATCATCTCAAGTTTCGAGAGAGTGTTTGGGGTTTTGGGGTTTCCGCCCCCACACCTGTACTAAGCTAGAAGCTCAGCAGGTGTGGGGGATATGTCCGTACGAAGTGTCGTAGGACATAGATGCTGTTTGAGGTTTTTGGGTCGTAGGAAGCAGATGGTCATTTGGTCAATGCCACACTTCTTAAACCCAGATTCAAACTGGGGGGCCAGTAGAATGCGTTTGAGTTCATTACTCTTCGGTCCA